TGCAGATGAGATCTCCGTATCAACTTTGTTCCATTAGTTTTCTTCATGAGAAATAAAAGAGTTAGGATATAGAAGTATAAAATGAATGTGAAGCAGCTCAGATGACTCGATGAAAAATATTAGAGTTTAAATTGAGTTCTCTGACTTTTGATCGCAGACTTTGGAAAATCTGTGCAATAAAAAATCGTTGAGACGTTTTAAGATTACTGGGGTCTTTTCTGTGGAGAAACATCTCAGAATCAGGAGACTTAAGCAAAAATAGCTGTCTAATCTATAGGAGAGACAATTGAGATATTAAAAAGATCTTGTTTGTGATTTTTTTTTCTTTCCACATTTATTCCAATTAATGCAAATGCATGTTTAAGATGAAGAACCGGAAGCAACGGTTTGAAGTCAAAAACATCTTGATGGATTTGTTTCAGCTTTTGTTTTCTCCAAACATTAACTGACGGACTGGAGTGGTGTGGATTATTGTGATGTTTTATTCAGCTGTTTGGACTCCCATTCTGATGGCACCCATTCACTGCAAACCAAGTTATATTCTTGAAAAACGCTTTTCATTTTCTCATGATGTCACATGTAATAAATGCAGCTTCATATCGGTCTTCTCATGGGGAGGCTGGAGGATCTTTTGCAATACTTGCTTTTTTAGACGTCGTTGCAAAATGCTTTTTGGGTGTTGCTTTGTTACTTTGTAACATGTTACACCCTACAACAACAATTCATTTTCAGTGTCTAGAATTTCTTTAGAACAGTGCAGACTAAAATTAGGATTGTTGCATGTAACAGTTTGCACCCATGCCGTAAAAAAGATCAGCTGTATTTTGAAAAAGTTTAACTCCATTGGAGACATAAACGTTCAAAAGTTTGGGGTCAGAAAGATTTTTTTTAATCACATACAGATGGGGGATCTTCCTTAAGCCATTTCCTTGTAATGGCCTTCTTACTGGTTGCTAATAATATATTAAAGAGGTGTATATCCTTCTTTGCTATTTTTGAAGAGGACAATCCCAGGTACGTTGTTCTAAAGTCACATTCAAGATTCAATCCCATTATTGCATTTATCTCTCTATTCAAATCCTGCCAGTAAGTATGAATGATATTACAGTCCCAGAAGATGTGAAAATGGTCAGCCGATACATTTCCGCATTTTCTCCAGCATTCACCAGCTTTTGGATTCCCAGATTGCAAATATTTTATTTTAGGGGTTATGAAAAACCTTATTATATTTTTCCAAGTGAACTCCCTCCATGAATCTGAATTAGTTGTGGTCATCTGAGTTCTCAACATAGTTAACCATTCTTCTTCTGTTATACTTATATTGGCTTCCCTTTCCCATTGAAGGGAAAGTGTTGACTGGTGTCACTATCTCGCGAACGCGCCGGCGGATCTCCACCAAAATCGGGGGATCCCTTCAGCTCGAGGAGCCCTCTCAAACGCCACCCTCCGTGCGTCGGTAGCCCCCCAGGATTGCTAGATCGGTTGGCGCCGGCGGTTGTGTAGATCTAAAGGTAGGAGAAGCCATCTGTTCAAGTCCATTTTTATGAAGATTTTTTTTTTTGATAGAAATTAATACTTTATTCAGCAAGGAAGGACACATTGAACTATGGAAGCTTGTTTCCACCAGGGAATAAAAAATAAAAATAAAAAAAAGAAACTGGGTTTTTTTTTTTCCCCACACAATTTAGACTTCTTTTTTTTTTTCTCACAATTCTGCGTTCATGTCTTACAATTGTCTTATTTTTTCTTATAAAATAAGTAGAGCCCGACCGATATGGGTTTTTTGGGGCCTTTTACAATTCTGAGTTTATATATTTTACAATTCTGAGTTTATATCTTGCAATTCTGAATTTATATCTGTCTATTCTGAGTTTATAAATTTTGCTACTCTGAGTTTATAAATTTTGCTATTCTGAGTTTATAAATTTTGCTATTCTGAGTTTATATATTTTGCAAATCTAAATTTATATATTTTGCAATTCTGAGTTTTACATATTTTGCCGTTCTCAGTTTATATATATTTTACAATTCTGAGTTTGTATTTTGCATTTCTAAGTTTATATCTCGCAATTCCGAGAATTCTGAAAAAAGTCTGAATTGTGATAAAAAGTCGCAATTACCTTTCTATTTATTAATTTTTTTTTATCCCATGGTGGATACAGGCTTCCATATTAAACTGATCAAATGTTACAGTAAAGACGTTTATAATGTTACAAAAGATTTATATTTCAAATAATTGCTCTTCTTTTGAACTTTCTATTCATCAAAGAATCCTGAAAAAAAAAAATTGCTCACTGTTTCCACAAAAATGTGAAGCAGCACAACTGTTTTCAACATTGCTAATAAATTTCTTAAGCAGTAAATCAGCATAAAAACAGATGAAACTGTCTCTAATGTTAAAGTCCACGTTAGATGGATCCATCTGTCTTCAATTAGAGGACAAATCCCAGACCTGGATGTGAGGGTCAGATTTCAGTGAGCGCGTTTTATCAGCTGTGGGAACAAAAGCTCTCCAGATGGACTTTGACTCGTGTTTTGAACCAAATGGACATTTACATGCCAGCACACTTCATCTGTTTACAATGCAAAGGACACATTTGGATAGAATAGAGCAGATTGCAGTCATTCCCATGTAGGGGTCATACGTGACACATGCAGTCTGAAATCTCTATAATGCTGCATCCCTGTGAGATCCACTGACCCTGATGTAAGTAACAGTAAACCTCTGTACAGGGCTTTGTATGAAAGCAAAAACATGAAAGCAGTTATTTGAATTTCATTTGATAAGATTTTAAAAGGTTAATTATGTTGGTAAAGTTTGATTACCATTGTTATTGCTAATAAATTTGTATTAAATCACACAGAATCCAGAAAAATTAAAACACAATTTCTGAAAAATATAAAACCCATTTCAATATTATTATTGTTAAATATTAACAAGCAATACTATTGTTAAAGTAATTAGATTTCTATGTATCCAATGGATTAAACATCCTTTTTGATTTATTAAAATTTAATTAAACTATTCAAACAGAATCCAGAAAAATTAATATGGAAAACACAGAATCTGAGAAAAAAATAAAACTGAATTTGAGAAAAAATTAAATGCATGTCATAGGGAAATATTATTGTTAAACTTGTAATAAATTATTAAATAGTTAAATTTTTCTTTATCCAATTAATTAGACATCTGTTTGTGATTTTATTAAAATTTAATGAAACCATTAAAACAGAAAACACTGAATTTGGGAAAAAAATAAATCAATTTCTGAAAAAATAAAATGCATTTTCATAGGGCAATATTATTATTAAAATTGTAAAACAATTATTAAATTCTTAATTTATCCAATTGATTAGACATCCTGTTGTCGTTTATTAACGTTTAATGAAACAATTAAAATGTAATCCAGTAAAATTTAAAGACAACATAGAATTTCTAAAAAAAGAAAATGCATTTCATAGAGCAATATTATTATTAAAATTGTTAAAGTTTTATATATTCATTAGACATCCTTTTTGATTATTACAATTAAACTGTTAATTTTTAATAATAAAAAAGGATGTCTAATGAAATGTAATCACAAAAAAAAAAAAAAATTTTTTGTATTTTTTCCTGAAAGTTTCCTCATGTACACGAGTTATTGCTTTCATTTTGTTGCTGCTGTATTCAAGGCTGAGTGCTTTGGCTGAAGGTAAACAAACAGTCAAGTTGAAGTTTCGTTTGGGTTTAATGCTAAAGTCCTCGGGGTCTCCTGTTCGTCGGCGAGTGACGCGAGGATCCAGCGCCAAACACTGATTCACTGTCTGATGATGGAATGGCTGGAATTTGTGTTTGCTGGACTGATAAGACGCCGGCACAGAGGGCAAATCCGGTGCAGCTGGAATGCATGCGTTTATCACACTGCACTGGCACAGGCCGAGCAGAAAACAGCCTTAACGCAATATTTGTCTAAGGTACAGTGGCACTTTGAAGATCTTGGAGCTGTTTGTCAAACCGCTTTTATTATTTGTGATGGTTTATTAAGTCAGTCTTTAAGGGCTCGTGTCATCTTTGCTCAGTGTGAAGTGCATATAGATGCATTAAGATACAAATGTGTATTAATGATCAATCAAACGTTTGCTCACTATTTTCTTCTTGTTAAAAAAATAATAAAAATTATTATTATAAGTAAATCCATATGTTGTGGAATATCACAAATAGAAATACGCTAGTAATAACAACAACTATTATTATTATTGTTGTTGTTGTCATCTGCGGGTCCTTAAATGTCTTAAATTTAGTTTGATCAAATTTAAGGCCATAAAAGTTCTTAAATGGTACAAGAAAGTCTTAATTATGATTTCAAGAGGTCTTAAATTTGGGGACGAAAAGACAAGAATTGCAATACGGCTTAATGTGACGATTAAACTTCAAAAGGCTGTGACTGCATTGAATAAATATGAGCTCTGCATATTTTAAAGTCAGGTGCAGCGCTGATTTATGTAGGCTTACTGCCCGAAAGAGAATGGATTTGCATTTTCAATAAGCACGTCTGCTCGTTTTGTTCAGACCAAAGTGAAAATCAACCCATGTTTTTATGCTGCAAACACGCAGAGTTGTAAACGTGAACCGGTGGATCGACAAGAAGATAATGCATTATACAAATCTAAACAATGAATAAAGTGAAATACTGAAATAATAATTATTATTATAAATAAAGCCATACATTACGGAATATCTTAGGCCAAAAAAATTTAACCATTTCATCTGAAGCCTTTTCATCAAAGGTTTTTTTTAAGATTATGAGAAACATAAATTCAGTCCAAACCTCTCATCAGTCTTGTGGTTATAGTACATAGTGGTTATAGTGACTCCTCAAGAAAGTATGTGAGTGTGAATTCAGATGTGTTTGTGTTTGTGTTTGTTCAGGTGTTGAGTTTGATTTGTGTGTGTGTGTGTGTGTGTGTGTATATATGTGTGTGTGTGTGTGTGTGTGTGTGTGTGTGTGTGTGTTTTTCAGTGTGTGAGGGACATGAGAGAAGAGTCCAGCTGCACTCACAACAACAGCCTGATGGGAGAAGGTGAGAACATGCATATCTGTCATTACTGCAGGATTTACTGACGGCAAACCAGTGTGACTCCAGTTTCACTCCACTCTAATAGAGACATACAGGTTCAAAAGTTTGAGCTTTTTTTTTTTTATACTTTTATTCATCAAGGATGCATTAAATTGATCAAAAGTGGCAGTAAAGACGTTATAATGTGACAAAAGATTTCTGTTTCAAATAAATGCTGTTCTTTCTACCTTTCTATTCATCTGTGAATCCTGAAAAATAAAAAGTATCACTGTTTCCACAAAAATATTGTGCAGCACAACTGTTTTCAACATTGATGATAATCAGAAATGTTTCTTAAGAAGCAAATCAGCATATTATACTGATTTCTGAAGATCATGTGACACTGAAGACTGGAGTAATGATGCTGAAAATACAGCTTTGATCACAGAAGTAAATTACAGTTTAACAGATACTCGCATAGAAAACAGCTGTTTTAAATTATAATAATATTTCACTATTTTTAGTATTTTTGATCAAATAAATGCAGCCTTGTTGAGCAGAAGAGACTTCTTTCAAAAACATTAAAAAAAAAACCGTACCAACCCCAAACTTTTGAATGATCACTATGGCATTAGTCTGAGAATGTTAATTTAACCTTTTTTTTAATGTAGTCCTTGTTCAAACAATAGAGTTCAGGAATCACAAAATTTGAATTATATTACATATAAATATATATAATAAATTGAAAGCATTGCTACAGTGTCTAGGTTGTTGCTAGGTAACCATGTATTATGGTTACAATTTCTGTTAAAGTTACAGACTGACTGGCTCGTTTTATTTACCTGACAAAGCTGTTTTTACTGTAATTTGGCTGCTGGCGAGTGTTAATTCTGGGCTGTGTTTAATGCAGGAGTCGATCACTGTGTTTCTGCAGTGTGCCGTACAGTGCGGCGGTGTTTATTTGCTCTAGATGTGTGTGTTTCCATTGCGCTGTGTGTGCGGTGAGCTCACGGTTGGCTGCCGTCTCTCCTCCGTCAGGTTTTGCTCACTTTTGGGTACAAATTTGTCCCCAAAATATGGTTAAGTAGGTACACACTCACTCACTCACTCTCTCACTCTCTCACACACTATCTCTCGCTCTCTCTCTCTCTCTCTCACACTCACACACTCTCACACACACTTGCCGAAACAAGTGCAAGAATGTCTTTGAATCAGATCCAATTAATGCAACTCGACGTTGTGGAAATGTTGAGTAATGGAGAAACTTGATTTTGGTGAGAGAGATGTAAGTTCACAACCATTTGTGTGCCAGGCTGATATAGTCTTCTGGCACAGACCGAACACCTCCTCATCTTCTCCTCCTCCCTCTCCGTAAGCGCGGGCCGCTTGTCTTCTGGTCTTACTCTCTTACTGCGCTCCAAATTTCCCCAAACAAATCTTGTCTTCCAGCGGTGGAGGATGCTCTCCGTTCATGGCCTATTATGGAAGTTTCAGGGAGTCGTGATGCGAGTCTGTTGGCACACGGATGAGTGGGAATTGAAAGAGCAACTCGTGATGTTTTAAAGGCAGGAATAAATGCCGGAGTGTCAGAAGCAGGTTATTGTTAGTCAGGACGTTTGTGTTTTGATCTGAAGCATCTCATGTGTCGTGGTAAGTTAAACAAGACAAATGTGAGATGAAACTTGTCAATAAAAATTTGTATATATATTTTTATATATATATAACTTAAAACTTAAATATATATTATTTTTTATTTTATTTATTTATTTTTGTGCTACAACATGGGATTAATCAATGCATGCTTTTATCATGGTTTATAGTTATATGGAAACGAAAGTGGTTAACATTCAATCCGTTCTTTTTCATCAGTATTGTTTGTGATTTGTATTTTGTGAAGTTCCTCTTTTGTTATGTTATAAGCCGGGCTTCGGATGCTTTCACTTTCGAATTCGCGATCTTGTCACGTTTTACAAGAAAACTAAGATAATTGACTGTTTTGCTTTATACATCTACACACCCTTCACTTTTTAAGACTAAAACAAAAGATGGATTCATTGTTATTCTTAATTAAAAAGCACAACAACATTAATACAGTAAGATACAATGACAAACTAGCTTACAAAACGTTTATTAACAAAAACGAATAACATGAGGCATGGCACACACCACATGCTGTATTATATACCGACTAATAAATTACAGAACGTTTAGCAAACACTGAGGAATCAAATAAAAAAATAAAATAAAAGAGCCTCCATAGCGTAACGTGAGGTAAACAAAAAGAAAAGTAAAACTAAACTTGCTGTCGGTGACAGTGCTTGCATGATTATTCCCACAAGAATACCAGCATGTTCACCTCCTCTGGTTTAAGAAGCGGTCTTTTACTTTACTTTAGCTTGAAAACCATCCATCGTTTCCTCAATATACGCGTCATTTTTGCTGCGCGCACCTTCGCGCTTGTGCTGACGCGGCGAGTATAAACCAGGCTCTACACTCTATAAGCGCTGCGCAGTTCAAACGAGTTCAAACGCGGTTTCATTATGATTTCAGTTTCCTTTGCCCTTTCATGTTTCTCATATGCAACAGAAATTGCAGCGCTTATTAGTTAAACAACGCGGTGGTCGCGACAGTGCGACCGCTCACAAAATTTAGTCACACAGGCAGAAAAAATGGTCGCAAAATGTATATGTATGTAAATAAACCTAAATTATAAATAAAATGTATAATAAATGTATATACAGTGTATGTAATAAATATACATGTAATTTTTTATATAATTGTGATGTTTTTTTTAATTTATCGATTTCTTGATTTTATATATACACACACACACACACACACACACACACACACACATGCACACACTCTCTCACTCCCACACTCACACTCACACACTCTCTCTCTCACTCACACACACACGAGCACACTCACTCACTCACAAACACACTCACACACACACTCTCTCACACACACACACACACACACACACACACACTCACTCACACATGTATTTATTAATTTGTTTATTTATTTGTTTTTGGCTTTATATTACTTTATATAGGCCTATTTATTTAGCTAGTTATTTATGTTTATAAAGGCCTATACATTTATTTGTTTGTTTATTTGTTTTATATAGTTTTTATGTAGGCATGTGTGTTTATTTATTTGTTTGTTTGTTTCATATAGGCCTGTATATTTTATTCACTTACTTTATTTATTTATTTATTTGGTTTTAAATAACTTTTATTTGTTTGTTTGTTTGTTGGTTGGTTTGTTTTAGGTTTTATATTGGCCTGTACATCTTATTTTAGTTATTTATTTATTTGATTTTATGTAATTATTTTTAAATATAGGCCTATTTATTTAGCTAGTTTTTTAGTAATTATGTTTCATAAAGGCCTATACTTTATTTATTTATTTTATTCAGGCCTGCGCATTTTATTTATTTGTATAGTTTTTATATTGGCCTATATGTTTTATTTATTTATTTCGTTTTTAGGTTTGATATTATTTTTATATCATCCTATTTATTTATTTATTGATTGATTTAATTCTTTTATATAGGCCTATACCTTTTTATAAAGGTTTTATGTAGTGTTTATACAGGACTATATTTTATTTAGTTTTTGTTTTTATATAGGCCTATTTCTATTTTTATTTATTTATTTAACTTTTGGTTTAGTTTATCCAGTTGGATCTTGTTCAGCTTGATTTTGTGGGCTCTTACACACGGGTTTTCCTCCACACCAGTGTGCTGGCAGTATCAGCGGTTTTCTGTGGACTTTCGGTCCCCTGATAAACGTCACAGTGGCCTCCCATCATTGAGATCGCGGCGCACAGATGTCCGGTGTTTTGTCCAGAGGAAATGTGCTTCTGAATAGGGCTCAGCGGAGGCAGTTCGAGGGCTTAATTGGCTTTATTGCCACGACTGTTTCTCTAGAGAAACACTGACTTCAGAACCGCTGGAGAATTTGAGCTGCGACGTTCTCCTCAAAATAACAGGACGCCTGATTCATCTTGATTGTGTTTTCGTGTAAATATGACTGTTTCTCACCCAAAAATGAGCATTTTGTTGTCGTTTACTGGCCCTCATGGCATTCCACACCCATTTGACTTGCTTCAGTGGAACTCAAAAGGAGGTAAATTGCAGAATTTCCATAATTTGGTTGTTTTTCAAGCTCAAAGAAAAGTTGCTCAAAAAAAGTCACTCAAAATGTTTATATAGTTTTTATATAGGCCTGTACATTTATTTTTTTATTTATTTGGTTTTATATAGTTTTTATATAGGTCTGTACATTTATTTATTTGGTTTTATATAATTTATTTATATAGGCTTATTTATTTATTTTATTTTATTCTGTTATATAGACCTACACGTTTATTTTTTAAATATTTTATATAGTTTTTATGTAGGCCTTAACGTTCATTCATTTCTTTTCCTTCCTTTTGGTATTTATTTATTTATTTACGACACATTTGTTTTTTTATTTATTTATTATTCAGGCCTGTACATCCATGCATACATTTTATTTGTTTGTTAGTTTGTTTTTTAGGTTTTATATAATGTGATTTATATAGGCCTATTTATTTGTTATTTAGTTTTAGGCCTATACATTTGTTTTAATTTGTTTATTTATTTGTATTTATTATTCAGGCCTGTACATCCATGTATACGTTTATGTGTGTGTGTATTTATTTATTTGGTTTTTAGGTTTTATGTAATGTTATTATATAGGCCTATTTATTCGTTTATTTATTTATGTTTTAGGCCTATACATTTGTTTTTGGTTATTTATTTTAGACCAAATATATCAAATCAAATATGGTGTGTAAAGATGCATCGCTCCTGGTTTGACATTATTGTTGTCACATTATTATTATTATTATTATTATTATTATTATCATAATTAATCACAAGAGCTGTGGCAGAAGTTTCGTTTTGGGTGAACTTTCGTCTGAACTTCGTTTGAATGTGAAATATCCAGTTTCCACATTGTTGTGCAGCACGAAAAGCTGCTCATTAT